AGACTTAGGATTGGGTTCTGTGTCTCATGAGGTAGTTATTGGCTCAGGTGGAGTGGAGATATGTGGGCGAATTAAGACCAGTTCTTCCCAGGAAGGGTAAGTGAGTAGTTTCCCTTAATCCATTCTCTTTTCCAGACCCAAGGAAGAAGTAACCATTAAGAAGGAGAAGCGTGAAAGGGATAGAGACCGACAGCGAGAGGGTCATGGACGGGGCCGGGGTCGACCAGAAGTGATCCAGTCCCATTCCATCTTTGAGCAGGGCCCAGCTGAAATGATGAAGAAAAAGGGTACGAAAGCTTCCGGGAGGAAGGGATCAATGGATTTCAGTTCAGACTGCCTGAGAGAAGGGCAGTGGGATTCCCCTGTTCCCACTTTAGTTTTCCTTGCTGTTGGCCTCTTCCTTACCCCTGGTGAACTGGGTGATTTCCCACAGGGAACTGGGATAAGACAGTGGATGTGTCGGACATGGGGCCCTCTCATATCATCAACATCAAGAAAGAGAAGAGAGAGACAGACGAAGAAACAAAACAGATCCTGCGCATGCTGGAGAAGGATGATGTAGGTACCAGCAGGCTTGGCGGGGGAGGGGGGGGTGTCATAGGGGGGATGGGCCTTCTTTATGGCAGTGGAAAGGGCCTGTGGAGTCAGGGTTGGAGGAAGAATTGCTCTCTGATGTCCTGGAAGCCTGGCGAGCAGAGGAATCTTCAGTTAGAAAGGGGTTAAAGTGGGCTGCAATCCCAGTATGTGTATCTGCTGGCCAGGCCATGTCAACAGCTGACTCTTCTTTGGCAGTTCATCGATGACCCTGGGCTGAGGAATGACACTCGAAACATGCCTGTACAGCTGCCTCTGGCTCACTCTGGGTGGTTGTTTAAGGAAGAGAATGAAGAACCAGATGTTAAACCTTGGCTGGCTGGCCCCAAGGAAGAGGACATGGAGGTGGATGTGCCTGTTGTGAAAGGTACTCTGTCAGTTAATATCTCGTCTCCTTTCCTGTGGCTGCCCCCCAGTCCCCACCGTGGGCCTCCCAGATTGCTGCATAATAAGCAGGTTCTCTCCCATTCCAGCTGTAAAATACATGGCCTGAGCAAAGACACTAAAGTCTCGCTCTCAGAAGGTTCATGCTGATATGAACCGGTGGGCCTAGCCACAGATACCCCTTATTAGATAAGTCACACAGTTCCTGGATCCCTCTTCACAACTAGTGTTTCTTTGCAGCTTCCTGGCTGAGCGACTGGAGGAGTTGGGGGTGAAGGGATGGGTACAATGAGATGACACACAGGGTGGCCACTTGATAGCCCTTTCATTTGTGTTACTTTGGGCAGTAAAAGAGGAGCCACGAGATGAGGAGGAGGAGGCCAAGATGAAGGCTCCTCCCAAAGCAGCCAGAAAGACCCCAGGCCTCCCAAAAGACGTATCTGTGGCAGAGCTGCTCAGGGAGCTGAGCCTTACGCAGGAGGAAGAGCTGCTGTTCCTCCAGCTGCCAGACACGCTCCCTGGCCAGCCGCCAACTCAGGACATCAAGCCTATCAAGACAGAGGTGCAGAGTGAAGATGGACAGATGGTGGTCGTGAAGCAGGAGAAAGACCGGGTATGCTCAGGAATGAGTTGTGTGGAAATGTGGGGGGATCGATCAGGAAGGGAAGCAGCGACTGTAGCATGAAGCAGGGGTGTGCCACCCGAGCTGAATTGCAAGAACATCATGTATTTGTTCTTTCTCCCCATAAGAAGCTTGGGGCTTTGTACTTCAACCTCAATTATATGTATGTTTACTTGTTACAATGAAATACTTGAACTGTAGATGGGAGGCCATTAACCCTCATGTGCCATTACCCAGTTTCAGCAGTTATTAATATTTGTTTATTTGCTTGCTGTGGGTGATTTTTGTTTTGTTTTGGGGTGGGTGTGTTTTTAACCAGTGCAAGCAGCCCTAGGAAAAGGCCCTTTTTGGGGAGCTTATGCTAACCTTTGCTGCTGATGCCTTTCTTTGGGAAAGGGTTCCCTCATGAAGGATGGAGGAAACTGCCCCTTCCCCCTCTCCATACCCTGATTCTCTTCACAGGAAGCCAGGCTGGCAGAGAATGCTTGTACCCTGGCTGACCTGACAGAGGGTCAGGTTGGCAAGCTGCTCATCCGCAAGTCAGGAAAGGTACAGCTCCTCCTGGGCAAGGTGACTCTGGATGTAACAATGGGAACCGCCTGCTCTTTCCTGCAGGTGAGAGCCCATAGGTTCAAGGGCAGAGGCCCTTTAAGAGGTCGAGGATGCTGAGGAATCAGTGCTAAATGTGGGAGAAGGGTTCTTGGGATTATCACATTAAAATCAGGACTGATTGATGGGCTGTGTGGTTTTGGTTCTCATTGCTTTCTCTGTCGATTGGCAGGAGCTGGTGTCCGTGGGCCTTGGAGACAGTAGGACGGGGGACATGACAGTCCTAGGACACGTAAAGCACAAACTTGTATGTTCCCCCAATTTTGAATCCCTCTTGGATCACAAACACCGGTAATATGAGCAGATGGAGGATGACGGTGACTGTCCATGGCTGCTGCCTGCTCCAGACGTTTTGTTCTAAAATCTGTGCGACCCGGAACAGGCCTGTTTAGCCCACCCACTCCAGCCTCTGGCAGCCATTGTCCCAGTTTTCCCCACCGGGCCCATGTGGCTCCCTCCCACAGCAGCTGTGAATGGCACAGTGACCTTCCCACAGCATGGATGCTGCATGTCCTTGCTGCTGGGGGACTTGTCCCTTCTATTTATTATTATATTTATGCTCTATCTCTTCAGCTGACTACATCTTTCCCAGGTGCAGAGGGGAGGGTCTGTGGAAGAGTATAGGCTCCTCCTCATGGTGACCATCTGGGTTCTCGCTGTGGGAAGTGTAAGAACTGCTGCTGCTGCTGCTGCTGCTGCTCTCGCTCCCTCCTTCCTCCTGAGGGGCAGTCGGAGAGCGAGCAGGGAATGTTTTCGTCTGAGTCTCAGTACTCAGGCCCAGCTCCATCAGTAACTAGTAGTGTGACCTTGGACAAACCACCTAACCTTTCTGAGCCTCATATTCCTCGTTTGATAAAAATGAGGACAATACCTACCTCACAAGGTTGGTGTGAGGATTAAATGGAATGTTGTAGATGAAAACTCCTTGCACAAGGCCCCCACATGTACAGTAGTCACTCAATAAATGTTAGTTTCCCTTCCCTTTGCTTGAGTCTATATTCAAACAAAATAGAGATTCTGAGAATCTCTCAGGGGAAGTGAATGCTTTGTCCCTGCATTCTTATTCCACGTCCCAACCACCCTCCTCCCCACCACCCCCCACCCCGGCCTAATCCTCTGAAGGTACAGGTTCAGGCCCTTCTATGCCCTTTTTCTCCTGAGCATTCTTAGCCAAGTGCTTCCTGTTCATTGCTGTGAGGTCCTAGCTCTAGGTTCTATCAAAGTAAAGAAGTCAGAATCTTCCCAGCACCTACGAATGCCTTCAGGTGACACAGTAGTCCGAACACTTGTTCCCTCTACCCTCACCCCTGGAATAAGTAGCAGTACTCTTCTAGCTTCCATTGAAGGGTTTCTCAAAAGAGCAATTAATAATTCTCATAGGGAATTAACACTGCACTAAGTCAACTACGGCTGAAGAACAACCCTTGGTAAGATAGAAGTGAGCCCTGGCCACTGGTTCAGTTGGTTAGAGCATTGTCCCGTGCACTGAAGGGTCACAGGTTTGATTCCCCGTCAAGGCACATACCCAGGTTGCGGATTGGATCCCTGGTTGAGTGTGTGTGTGGGAGGCAACTCATCAATGTTTCTCATATCAATGTTTTCTTCCTCTCTAGAATCAGGGAAAAACATATCCTCAGGTGAGAAAAAAAGAAAGAAGTTGAGATTTATTAAATAACTAGAGGCCCGGTGCACCAAATTTGTGCATTGGGGTGGGGGTGGGGGTGGGGGCCCTCAGCCTGACCTGCACCTTCTCCAATCTGGGAGCCCTCAGCGGATGTCCAACTGCCAGTTTAGGCCCAATCCTGCAGGCAGTTGGACATCCCTCTCGCAATCCGGGACCTCTAACTCCTAACTGCTCACCTGCCTGCCTGCCCTAACCACTCTGCCTGCCTGCCTGATCCCCCTAACTCAGGGGTGGGCAAACTTTTTGACTCGAGGGCCACAATGGGTTCTTAAACTGGACCGGAGGGCTGGAACAAAAGCAAAAAAGCCATGGATGGAGTGTGTGAACTAATATAAATTCAAAGTAAAAAGTAAACCATCCATTACATAAAAAGGGTACAGTCTTTTTTTTTTTTTTAGTTTTATTCATTTCAAACCGGGCCGGGTTTCCGCCCACGGGCCGTAGTTTGCCCACGGCTGCCCTAACTGCTCTCCCCTGCCAGCCTTATCCCCCTAACTGTCCTCCCCTGCTGGCCTGATTCCCCTAACTGCTCTCCCCTGCCGGCCTGGTCACCCCTATTAACTTTTTTTTAAAAATCTTATCCCCTTCATACACAATTGTATTTGACTTCCTTATGGCTTCTCCCTCTCAGACAATTTTTCTCTCTCCGTTATATAACACTTTTTTCCTACTGACTCATCATTTATAAACTTCTTTCCTCTTGATTTCCTACTTTGTTCCATCATCCTTCCATCTATCTCCTACCCTCCCTCCCTCCCACATTCCTTCTTTATCTTTAACCCTCCCCTCCCTCCCTTTTCCTTCCTTCCACCTATTTTTTTTCTTCATTTCCCTCCCTCGGACCTGCTTTGCTCCCTCCCCCATTTTCTTCCTTCTTCCCATTCTCCTTTTAAACTCTACCGGCTCCCCTTTTAAAACTTTTCTTCCCTTCCTCTTTCTCTCTCATCCTACCTTTCCCATATACTCTTCTCTACTTACTTCCACTGTTTTAATATCTATCTACCTGCCTAATTATTCACTATCATTTATCGTTTTTCTTTTCTGGCTCCTACTTTTAAAATCTGTCCCCAATACACAACTATACTTGATTTTCATTATAGCTCCTACAGTTCACTCATACATCCTCTTTCCTTCTTTAACTCTGCTGTCTGCTGACTCCTTTATAAAGTTCTTTCCTTCTTTCCCATCCTCCCCCCTCCTCCCTCACTCTTTTACTCTTTTTACAGGTTAATTAAAAATTCTATGCTTTTCATCCTGTCTTAGTACTGACTTCTTTCCTCTCTGGGATGTGTAGCAGCCTCTGTTTGGGCACTCGGGCCCTTCTCGCATCGGCTTTGAGGGCCTGAGCAACGACGCAGCTGTGTCTTGCTGACCGTGGCTTGTGCCTCCCCTCTCGGAGTCAGGGGAGCGTCCTGCTGGGCCAGGGCCAGGGCCAGGGCCAGCGTCCATCGCAGGGACCGCTGCATTACGCACGCAAGAGGCTTTTCTCCTGTTGCGTGCCAAAGGGTGGGGGATGCGGAGGCCTTTCCCATTCCCCAGCGTGCCTGCTCCCATGCCTCAAGCAGCTCTCCGTCTGTTCCTGTCCCGAATTCGTAGGCGACGGCGTGCTTGCGCAGGCATGGTTGGGGCCCAGCTTGTCCTTGGGGGGCATTCCGCCCAGGATGCAAGCTCCTGTCTGGGTTGGACCAGGCCGATGAATGGATGGACGGCTAGAGAAAGCCGTGGCCGCTTCCCTGTGGTGTGAGGGTCGCCTGTGGTCTCCACGGTGGCAGGGCCAGGTTTACGCGGCAGGAGGAGACTTTGAGGTTGTGCGCTTGGGAGTATTGACCGGTGCCCCAGGCATCGTGGGGCCACCTTGTGTGTCTGTGGCAATGGGACCCCTGCGTTGTTTACCCGATGGCTGTCCCGCTTTACCTCGACGTCCACTCTCTGTTATCGCACCCGGGCCCTTCCTTCATGTTGGGTCCACACCCTCTCGATTTGCGTGTGCGACCCCTCCTGGGGGTCTCTGCCGACACTCGCACTCCCTGGTTGGTGTCTGCTGATTGTGCCCCGCGAACTGGCCTTCTGTGTGCGGGTGTCACCACTCAGCCCCCTCACTTTCCTGGCCCAGCTCCAGGGGCAGGGAAGCGAGCCTCATGCAAGTCCCCTGGCTGTGCGTGCAGCCTGTTGAATGGTCGTTACTGTGACACCGTAACGGACAGTTTGCATATTGCCTCTTTATTATGTAGATGGCCTCTTTGACACTTGACAGATGACATTCCACTTTAAAAGTTTTGAATTTGAGGGACCCAGCTAGAGGCAAGATGGCAGGCTCATGGTGAGCAGATGTCAAGGGATGAAAATAGGTATGCCTACAAGCAAATTTTAAAAGCATTTTCTCTTCAAATCTTTTTCCATACCACCTGATAAGCATCTTGATTCACCATGGCGGTATCAGCAGTGAAATGGGCAATATCAAACAGAACTATTTTGGAACATTTATTTCCAATCCAGAATGGAGCTTTATACTGTGTCTGTCATAAATCCTCATACTCTCCTCTTCTAGATGACTATAATTGCAAAGTAGAACTTGCTTTGACATCTGGTGGCAGGACAATAGTTTGCTACCATCCTTCTGTGGATATTCTATATGAACACACCAAGCCTATCCCTCAGCCAGATCCTGTGTATAATTATGAAGAAACACAGGATCAAATACAGAAAACCAGATTAGAAGAAAAAGATGAACACTTTGAGCAAGGACTCACGATAGAACAACTTAGCAAAATGTTCTTTACTACTAAGCACCATTGGTATCCTTAGGGACAGTATACACGTCGTAGGAAACTGAATCTTCCAAAAGACATGATATTGAGGTTTTCAGTAAAACGCTGTCCTGTTCTCATTTGCCATTTGAGAAAATGCAATCAGGTATATTCACTACTATGTAATATAGTAAAATAATAATAAAATGTCTTTATCTAAAAAAAAAAAAGTTTTGAATTTGAGAGGCACACCTCTGTCTCCTAGAATCATCAGGTTCACCCACTTGGCTTGGTTCCCTATCCCCACTGGCCATGCTGGCCTTTTTTAGTTCATGGGTCTTGTTCTTTTCACCAGGTTATCACACTATTCTTATTTTTATTTTATTGTTTTCAGAGAGGAAGGGAGAGGGAGAGAGAGAGAAATATCAATGATAAGAGAATCATTGTTCGGCTGCCTCCTACATGCCCCACAGTGGGGCTCAAGCCCGTAACCCAGACATGTGCCCTGATCAGGAATCAAACCGTGACCTCTTGGTTCATAGGTGGACCCTCTACCACTGAGCCACACCACCTGGGCTGGTTATCACACTCTTGATCCTTCCATTGTGTAGGCCCTGGAGGAGCAGCTTCTCTGCCTCTGGCCTTTGTCCACAGGGCTGGATTTTTCCATGGTTCAGTGAGGGTGGGGCATCTTAGAGGTTAGGGCAAGCCTCCTGCAACAGTGACTCTGGTTATTAGATGCCAGTGTCACAGCTCCCTTTCCTGTGAACTTAGCAAACTGCCTCTGAAACAGGGATGGACCACAATAAGAGCGCTCAGTAAGAATGCATCCTGACTTTCAAGTAACCTCAGAGGTTTTGGGTGGATATGCCTTCCTTTAGTTTCTTCCTGTCATGGCTGGGGCTTTTTCTACACTGAGCCCTTCAAGCTGCCTAGCCAGCAGCTGTGAGGGAATTGAATATTTAATCACCACATGGCCCTTTCTATAGCTAAGAGCTCACAGGAGCTCTGTTGGATGGTCTTCTGGTCTCTTCTCACTGTAGCCTAGACCAGGTTTCTTGAAGACATGTTTGTGGAAGTCCTATGTGGCCTAAGGTTGAGCTATGAGGAGCCAACTGCTTTTTGTTCTCTGGGCTTCAATGCTTTCCTGTTTTATATAGCTAATGCATTGCCAGTGGGTCTCCATTGTAATCCTCTCTTCTTCTGTTTCTTTGGCTCAAAAAATACTCTTCTGCTTTCCTAGGCCGACTCAAAGACCCTGCTTCGTTAGATGTTTGGTATTTTTCAGTCTTTAGTTCTTCAACTCTTCCAAGAAAGCTTAAGGAGCCCTAGCCAGTTTCACTCAGAGGTTAGAGCATTAGCCCACAGACTGAAGGGTTCTGTCTTCCATTCTGGGCAAGGATATGTACCTCAGTTACAGGCTCAATCCCAAGAGCTGGTCAGGGCGGAGGTAACCAACTGATGTGTCTCTCACATTGATGTTTCTGTCCCCCTTCCTTCCACTCTCTAAAAATTAATGGGAAAAATATCTTCAGGTGAGGATTAACATACACACAGAGAAAGCTTGAGGAGGAGCATGTACCACTTTCCTGTTCACCATTTCAGGTACCTCGGGGTTGAATGTTAAAAACCCTGAGTCAAAGTCCCCACAACTTATCTTTATTCCCTGATTCACAGATTAGATGTAAAAGTGTGGAATAAAGACAAGGCAAGTCTGCTTTTTTGGCTGAGCCTCTGAAATATACAGTTCTACCCAACAAATCAGTGCAAATAATGGTAGTAAAAAACCCAAAGCAACATTCATATATGGGTGCAAATGTATTACTTCCTACATCTGTATGTGCATGTTTTTAAGACACCAAAAGAGAAAACTATAGGCTTGATCCTCTTTTAACCATGTGGTTAAGTGACAGATGTGGGCTTTAGAGTCAGGATTGGGCTTGAATCCAACTCTACCTGTCACTTTGGGGAAAATTACTTCTCTAAGCTCAGTTTTCTTTCTTTTCTATAAAAACTAGAGGCCTGATGCACGAAATTCATGCAAGAGTAGGTCTTTCTTTCCCCTGGCTGCCGGCACCGGCTTCCCTCTGGCACCTGGGACCCAGCTTCCCTTGCAGCCCCGGCTTTGTCCAGGAGATTGTTATCTGGTCTAATTAGCATATTACACTTTTATTATTATTAATGAGATAACAGCCCTGGCCAGTGTGCCTCAGTTGGTTGAGCATCATCCCATGCACCAAAAGGTAGCCGGTTCACTTCCCAGTCCAGGCACATGCCCAGGTTGTGGGCTCAATCCCTAGTAGGGGGTGTGCAGGAAGCAGCCAATCAATGTTTCTTTCTCACGTTGATGTTTTTTTTCTCTGCCTCTTCCTTCCTCTTTATCTAAAAACATTTTTTTAAATAGATAACAGCCCTGGCTGGGTAGCTCAGTTGGTTAGAGCGTCGTTATCCCATTCAATTTCCTGTCAGGGCAAAACCTGGGTTGTAGGTTCCATCCTTGGTCAGGGCATGTACGGAAGGCAACCAGTTGATGTTTCTGTCTCACATTGATGTTTCTCTCTCTCCCTCCCCCTCTAGAATCAATAAAAACATATCCTCACATGAGGATTTTTTAAAAAAATTTAATGAGATATCAGTAGGTATTTAATAGGGTTCCTTTTAAATTAGAGTGGACTTAAAGCATTTATTTGGTGCCAGACAGAAAACTGCTTCTATCAGGATATGGTTGTCACGAGTAACAGGAAACTAGACTGACAGTGACATAAGCAATAAGAATGTTTAATTCTCCCATGTAACGAGAAGTCTGGAGATAGGTGGTTCCAGAGCTGGGTAGCCAAAACCTCATCCAAATTTTCTTGGATTGATTTATTCTGCCATTCTCAGTGTTGCAAAGTGGCTGCCACAGCTCAGCATTATTTCTTCAAATGACAGTACCCAAAGCCAAAGCAGGAATCAAAGTAGACAGCAGTAAAGGAACTTCCTCATTGTGCTCCTATAAAGAAAGAATATTCTTCAGAAGCCAAAGAGACTTGCCCTTGTGTCTTATTGATAGAGTTGGGCCACATACCCACCCTAGGGTACTGGCAAAGAGGGATGGGTAGACCAGTTTTCTCCATTGATGGGCATCCTGTTGCCTGACACAGGGTTTTGTTAGTAGGGAAGAAGCAAGAATGACAGGTAGACAGACATTCCATAAGAGTTGCCATGATGTTAAAAAAAAATACTATCTTTTGCAGTAGAGTCAAAGTATATCTAGATAGAACTTTTTAAATGTTAGATTACCTTTTATAGTATAAAACAAGTTTTAACATTTTAGTGCACCTTCTTTCAGACTCCATAACTGTATGTTATGTATAATATATTATGCAGTTTTACCATGTGCTTTATCTCATAAAAAATATAAATAGTTCTCCCATGTTAATGAGCGTCTTTTTAAAAATATATATATATTCCTTTATTGACTTCAGAGAGGAAGGGAGAAGGAGAGAGAGAAACATCAATGATGAGAGAGAATCATTGATTGGCTGCCTCCCGTACACCCCCCACTGGGGAACGAGCCCGCAACCCAGGCATGTGCCCTTGGCCGGAATCGAACCCAGGAACCCTCAGTCCGCAGGCTGACGCTCTATCCACTGAGCCAAGCCAGCTAGGGCACGTCTTGTATTTCAGGTACTTCTGAGCTAACTGTAAGAGACAACGACCTTTAATCCTCACAGACCTACGCACATGGTCCAGTTGAGTCACTCAACCTCAAACATTCCCCCAGAGCAGGATAATCAGGAATTCTTTTGGAAATGTCTCTTGCACTATACAACATAAGAGCAAGAGCTATATTAGAATCTATCTGTGGACTATCAAAATTCTCCCAAAAATCACTGATTTGGGGACATTTTGTTTTTTCTAGTTTACTATTTTTAAAATGACATGATAAGATCATATAATTGCTGCCAATAACCTCAATTATTTCCTTAGGGTTCTTTATTAAAAATGGCCTTGCCGAGACTGGTGCAGCCATATGGAAAACAGTATGGAGTTTCCTCAAAAGATTCAATATGGAACTGCCATTTGACCCAGTGATTCCTCTTCTAGGAATATATCCTAAGAAACCTGAAGCACCAATCAGAAAGGATGTATGCACCCGTATGTTCATAGCAGCACAATTTACAATAGCTAGGATCTGGAAACAGCCCAAGTGCCCATCAGTAGATGAGTGGATAAAAAAAGCTGTGATACAGCCCTGGCAGGTTTTGCTCAGTGGATAGAGCATCGGCCTGTGGACTGCAGGGTCCTGGGTTCGATTCTGGTCAAGGGCACATGCCTGGGTCTCAGGCTCGATCCCCACTGGGGGGCGTGCAGGAGGCAGCCGATCTGTGATTCTCTCTCATCGATGATGTTTCTATCTCCCTCTCCTTTCCTCTCTGGGATCAATAAAAATATATATATATTTTTAAAAAGCTGTGGTACATCTACACCATGCAATACTATGCAGCAGTAAAAAAGAAGGATCTCTTACCCTTTGATACAGCATGGAGGGACCTGGAGAGTATTATGCTAAGCGGAATAAAGCCAGTCAGAGAATCTCACTCATATGTGGAATCTAATGAACAAAATAAATTGATGAACAAAATAGATCCAGAGACAAAGAAGCATAGAACAGACTGCAGAACCTCAGAGGGAAGGCAGGGGAGGATGGGTGGGTGGGAGATGATCAACCAAAGAACTTGTATGCATATATGCATAACCCATGGACAAAGGCAATAGGGTGGTAAAGGCCTAGGGCGGAGGGCGGGGGTGGGCTAGAAGGGGTCAATGGGGGAGGAGGAAATGGGACATATCTAATACTTTCAACAATTAAGATTTTTAAATGTTTTTAAATAAATAAAAATTTTAAAATGGCTTTGCTTAATCAAATCTATAACATTTTCACCTCCAGACTGCTTGCACCTATCTGTTCACATGCCCGTCAACAGTGTGTAAGAGTTGATCTTGTATTTATAAAGTTAAAAGTATAATCACAATTCTGTTTTTAAACTATACAAATATACAAAGATGCTGAGTAGGAGACCTGACCTTACTGACCCTCTAAATAGGTAACTAATGTTCTCTCTTCCCTCCATCAAACACAGAGGGGCTGATGTGCGAAGAACGCCCTGCTCCCACAGTTGTGGTACATGCTTTCCCAACTGAGTTGTGTTTTTCCCAAGCTGTTTCTGCCAGTTACATTAATTATTGTGATTTCATAATTCAATTAAGCATTCTGTAAACTAGTAAAATATGAAGGCTAAAGAACTTTTTTATGAAAATAGGGTAAATACCTTGTTTAATTGAATATATAAACTGATAAAATGTAAGTGCCAAAAGAAAGTTATTTCTATGGTAAGTGCTTTGGAAAGACGTAATAAAGGTGAGTCGCTGAAAAATCCTGTAGAATTAAGTTTAGGCAAGATAAATGTAAAGATGGGGGAACATTGTAAACATCCAGGGTAATTCTGCATTCAGATTGCTCTATTCTACTTTGGAGAAAGCAAACCGGTGATCTTAGCAGTGCATTATGGGTTTGTGTAGTTTTTGTGGAGTGCTAATCCGTGGATCCATACTCAAAGAAAAGAACTTGTCCCTACCCCAAATGACTAGTGGACACATGACCATTTATAAGTGATAAGTTAAAAGAAAATATTTAAAATAGGTGGGGTTTGTTTTAATTTAAAGATGTCCTCCAAAATATCTGTTAAGATTAGGTTCAGCTATGAGAAATAGAGCCCCAAAATAACAGTGATTTTAACAGAATTTTATTTTTCTCTTGTAAAAGCCTAAAGATGCACAGTATAAGGCAGTATGGCAGCTCTGCTCCACAAAGCCC